TCTCACTTCAAACTACCATAACCCCACTGTATGTCATATTAGACCACCTCCACAGTACTCGCCCTTACTAATTCTCTGCCTTTGCGTCTGACTGCCTCTTTTACGTCTTTGAAACTCTTCTATCCCCCTCGACTATTTTTCACATTGATGATCCTTCCCCTCTGTTAATCCTTAAAGTCAACTAAAGGGCTAATGATAACTATCATGAAGCTCACCATTTGCCATAAATAAATCAAACCACAGTAATCTCTAAGTCAAAATACGTTTGTATAGAAAGGCTCTTGGAATCCTTAAGCTATTTCAGTGGTAGAGGGGAAGCAGACGTATAGTGATGTACACTTGTCGCGACTTAAATGAATATTAACAGGTGATTAGTTGATAAGTCCTACACACACTCTACCGTACACTCTAGAATGTTCGAGTGCACATAGTGAGTCAAGATTGAGGAGTCCGCAATAGTATTGCCACGAGAAATCGATTATTAGCAAAATACTTTTGTTTCAAGACTCATGAAACAATGCTACCATGAGTACATAGTTATCAGTTGGAGCTTGTGTGGAGTGCACAGCGCTACTAAGGCCGATCAAAGAAATTTCACACGCGCGCGCTAAAGCCGTATGGAAGGTGCGGCCGTGCCACTAATTTCGCAGCGTGCAAAGTGCGGTAAGTGACCTCTTTATACAACTAGAGATCGATAATCGCTGCAATATAACGCAGCTCTAATCTTGTGTTAATGACTAGGCTTTTTGGCCGTTAGCCATGTGTTTAATAAACGATTTCCACTTTATATGCTCCATTTTCTTGTTACCTTTAAGGTTGCTAAGGTAAGAGAGGATTATTGAGGTACACAGGCTATACGGTGGGGATTTCCAGTTTTATTAATACTCTTGAGGTAGGTTCAATTAAGAATTCAAATTGGAGCCAACTTACGCTTTGGGACAAGTGTTTAAATAAACCGCTCAGTCCATCGCCTGACCTCACGTTCATTGGTGAGTCAAAAATTGTGATCTCGTATGATAGATTAAGCCGCCTCATTATCTCCATGGCCACCGCTATTTCCGGTCCTTTCGGTACCAACTTTCCTCTCGTGTCAAGTTCAGTTGTTACAAGTGGAGGGGCCTGAAGGTGAACTTTCAAGAAATTTAGCCTACTTTTATGGCTATGGCGGAATAAATAAAAATTCATAACTTACAACAATAGTACCCAGTCGAAGGGTTCGCGACTGCATCATTTCAAGCACTTCTTGTGTTGTTGGTGGGGATTTCAGGTTTTGAAAGGTGGCACTTACGGATCCGTTTTCTGATACGGTCACTTTATAGGACTTTAATGAAAGCGAGAACAAGTGTTTAACTTTATCGACAAGGGCGTTAATGAAATGGGTTAACGACATACACTTTCAATATTGTACTGGGCGTTGACATAAGAGTAAAAATTCCATGTTTGTTTGATAGTTTCCTTATTGACACCTTCTATTGTAGTCGTTATATAGGACACGTTCTCAATCTAAAACATGGAATGTTAGCCATTAGGAGGGGAACAATTTTTTTGGAATTGAGATAATTCTTGTTGCTTAAAAATACCGCAGAATTTATATTAAATGGAACTTTCTACACGGAAATTATGATCAATATCATTTGCTTATGGAAAATAAATTAGCCGTCAATATATTTTGTGATCGTTTGAATCGGTATCCTTCTAATACTCACATATATTCCCAAATGAAGTTGGAAATAGAAAGAAGTCCCTACTTTGCTTCATTTGTCTTTTCAATTTCCAAGACTCTCTCAATCAACCAACGAATCAGTTGTTGGAACATATTTTGAAACCAGGTTCACAGAAGCTGGCTTGGCCTATATCCCATATTTCACTGACTTCTAAGCGTCAACTGCCTCTCTCTCCCAAGAAGTGGACGCGACTCTTACCGGCTTATTAAGCTGTTCCGCCAGTGTGCTGAGAGCGAAAACGGCAGTGTCGCGGAAGATCAAGTCCACTGAAGTAATGGGCTTAGGAATCTCCGTAAATTCCGGATAATCAAATAGATTTCCATTTGGGGAAAGCTCTATGGCAATGAAATTGGCATTCTGAACATTTAGATCGTTTTCCGCCAGAGTTACCGCCTAAATTGAGTGAAAAGGACTTTAATTATCTCCGAGAGGATAATTAATTCAAAATGGTTAAGAAATCAGGAATAAAATAATAATTATTATTATTGTCATATTATTATTATTATTTATTTCTTATACAGATTAAAAGGGACTTTTAAGTTATTTGCTGAAGAATTGTTTTGTGATAGTTCCTCTAAAAAATGTACTTTTTAAAAATATAAAATTTATAAATAAATAAATATTTATTTATTTATTTATTTACTTTTTCATATTATTTTTAGAGGTACGAATACTCACCCCGTTGAAGGTTAGCCATGAGAAGGGGTGTTGTAGGATGTTCTTTGTTTGAGCCTTGCAAAATGTGAAAATAAAAAGATAGGCAGATTCATACCGTTTGAAGTATTTTCAGCGTTGATTCCTGTTTTGCTTTCACAACAAATACATTTGCATCATCCACCAAAATGGCATTCAACAGCTCCTCGGGATTTTCGAAGTCGGCTACATAGTAGACCCGAAAATGCCCAATTGTTCCACTGAGAAATCCAAAAATTTCCTCATCTAGAAGAATTTGTCTCTAACCGGAAACGAAGAATTCAACTTACTGTAAAAGGGGTTTCGGTCCGTCTCTGAAGGCAAAAAAAAACATTTTTATTTGTCAGGTCCAACAAATTACATTAGAAGCTCCATAAACTGACCAAAAAAATTAAAGAAATTTTGAGATGGTGGGGCCGGGGTGCGTAATTGACTTACCACCACGTTGCACGCTCTGAGAAACGTATACTCATACGGCTAAAAGTCTACAAACCGGTGGTTCGCTTCTGAATTCAAACTGCCATGACCACGACTGTATATCATATTTGACCACTTCACAGTTCTCACCTTACCTTTTCTCTGCTTTGTGTTTGTTTGTCTCGTTTACATCTGTGAATCACTCTTCTGTTCCCCCTCTCGAATTTTTCTCACATTGAAGTTCCTCCTCCTCTCTGTGAAGCCTGAAGTCAGCTAAAGGGCTATCGATAACTATCAAAACGTCTGCCATTTTACATAAATGAATAAATGTTGAGATAGGGAAAATAGCTTAATAAGTAGAGTGAAAAGGGACGGATAGAGAACTAAACAAACGGTTTGGGCTCAAAATGCCGCAAAAAGGTAGCGCGTACAATTGGTACTTCATTAACGGACCAATGGTTTAGTCATTACGCTGAAGTGATAGAAGATGGTAGAGAGACACGTTTCCACGATAAAATTTCGAGTGGATGTTCCGAGGTCACATCATGTGCGCTTGATGAAGTTGATTGTTTTCTAAACTCGAGGCGTTAAATCCATTTTCTTACAGAGTTACAGCGTTGTTTTAGGACATTTGACAGCTTATCTCTACATTCAGTAGATTTGGTAGTTTAGTTCTCACTATTTTATTTTTCAACCTACAAGTATTCTAATTATCTGTGATTTATGAACAATTCGGACACAATCGGCAGTCTATTTAGACACACAAAAAATGTTGAAGCAAAATTTGTTGTTATACCGTGAATATTTGCTAATTAAATTTTTTCACCATTTCTGTACTGAATATTGATTGAATGATCGATCGGGTTTGTTGGCAAAAAAATCCTCATTTAATCAATAAACATCTTGAAAAGCAATTATTTGGACTTTTTGGAAATTTTTCCTCGTAAATTTGTCCACAAGTACGACCTTATCTGACTGTCTGAAAGTTACCCGCAGTTTCTACGAAAATTAATCAGGCATTATCTTAACTACACCTCTAAAATAATATATAATAAAAATAATAATAACAATAATAATAATGTAAAATATAGATAATGAAATATGTCTTCTTCAGAAGACAACATTTTCGAACCCCCATGAAGTGACTAATTTTTATATGCCCAATGGAATTATTCTAATAGATTATGCGTTCAATTAATTATTTTTAATTTATGATGTATTCTTAAAATAAGTAAAATTTTTATCAAACAAGGTGTAGATGTAAAAAACTTAACTATAGAGACATCGTATCAATTGGAATTATTAATAATAAATAAATGATATATTTACTAATAATTTATTTCATATATTTGGAAGATCTGTGGGATGCGTCATCGCTTAACACTTTATAGTAAGCATGCACGCCAGGATCGGGAGGTGCGGTCGTACAACTCTCTGTACACACAACCGTTTGTTTAACCTAATCCTCCATGCTGATTATGACTAAGCTCCATGCGTACAGACTTTGCTCACAATGCACTAACAGAATAAACGTGTTCCATGCTTTATGTATGTTTCCTCTATAGCTGGTCTATAGCTTAGCTAGTTGTGGGAGTCTAGCTAGATGTAGGAGAATCTGCCACAGAGATTTCTGAGTCAGTCAGGCCTTACTAGTTTAGTAATCCACTAAAGATCCAAATATGGGATGAGATTAAGGGAATACGAATGGATTCAGTCAGTAGTATTTAAACGGTAAGTGAAATTAGTCACTAAAGAGATGGTAATACATTATGACATATTTTTATATTGTTTTGAAATTAACTTCAGATTGTCTCCATCTACGAAGTCAGAAGTCAGTGATTTCGATACTTCTCGTTGTGCACCACGTGAGCACCCTGACAAGCACTTCATTGATCGAGTTTTGGCAATGAAAGGGGGGCGATAGAGTACAGTTGTCTCACAAGAGGAGCACAATGGTGTTAACCCCCTCACCAAAGGTGGGTGTTGAAAAACAATTGCATAAATGAGGTTGAAATTGTCTTATAAAACTATCATCATTTGAATTTCGTTTTTATTTATTTGGCAGCAACTGGTAGGCTGGTTTAGTACTGCTAATAGTTCATGCAGTAATGAATGCCCAAGTAACGATGAAAGTCAATATATAAAATTCCACAGATGTAGAAAGTAGTTTTAACTACGGTGTTTTAAGTTTGTGGAATACGCAAACACAACAAGTTTAAAATGCGCACCCGAACATTCTGTTGGGTGCGGGCGTGAGTGTAGAGAGCACTTCTGAGATAATCAACTGTCAGGGTTCATTCAAGTTATGCTAAGTGTGCTCAATTACGAATCGTGTCTGTTGGGAGCACATTCATTCAACAAACACTATACGCCTGCTTCCTCTATACCTTAACTCGTTTCGGGAGCCTATCCATAAAAGGGCTATTTTGTCTCAAATGATGACTGAGAATAAGTCAGGGATTATTGGTGTAGCAGTTTGCTGCAAGCTGCAATGACCAAGATCGCTCAGGTTGTAGTTAATATTACACAAATAAGCACTTGGAAACTCCTTGCTAATTCTTCAGGAACTGTAACTGGTTGCAGACAGTTCCCATCAAAGAGGTCAAACTCACCTATAGTCTCGAGTATATATGCAAGTCTGATGACATCGAGGTTGGCGACTAAGTGGGCGATGGCGACTTCTATCACGGAATGTTGAATTGTAAGGGAGAGGTCGAAACCAATGAAACTCTTTCTAGTAATTCTTGGATTGTTCGTTTCCGTCTGCTTTGGAAAGAATGATGGACCGTAGTAGTTATCTGGACCGATTTGCACATAAATACTAGTGTTCTTTATATTCCTGTAAACTGCAGTGGAGAAATAAGTATTTCAGTAGTACCTCATCAATGATGGTGCAAATTATTCTCGTGCCAACTTACGATTCTCTAGTTCGCTTGCAGTAGCTGGTATAGTTGGGGGGTTCAGAAAAATGGGCGATATCTTGGAGGCCTTCAGGTTTGTGTATTCTGGCCTTTTCAATAAACTAGCGAAAATTTGACTATTACGTCTGGCGTCTGTTGTGTACTCTGTAAAGACTACATATATAAATACTCAACATTAATTTGATTGAGACTCGTTTGTAATGACTCTTACAATCATCTGATTTATTCCCCCTATTATAATTTTATTACAATCATAAAATATGCCATACAAAAAATACTTAATTAATTACCCAAAAAGTGCTTGTTTATTGGTATAACTATTAACATATCGACTGAGGGTGTGCGATAGACTTACCTCCACGTGGTGCACCCTGGAAATATGCCTTCACTATCAACATCTTATTTGGAAGCGGAGGGGTGTGTGCGATAGACTTACCTCCACGTGGTGCACCCTGGACAGCTGTGCGATAGACTTACCTCCACGTGGTGCACCCCGGGCAATGTGTACTCATATGGAAAAAGGTCTATAAACCAGCAGTTGACTCACACTATATGTCATATTCCACCACTTTCACAGTACATACCTTACCTCTCCATGCCTTGTGTCTGTCTGTCTCTTTTACATCTTTGAAACACTCTTCTATTCCACCCCCCCCCCCATAACGACTTTTTCACTTTGATATTCTTTTCTCCTCTGTGAAGCCCGAAGGCAGCTAAAGGGCTAATGATAACTATCATAAAGCCTCCCATTTGATATAAAAAATATATATCGTCTGATGGATAATAAACCCAAAACCCGAAAACTCGCCATTTTCATCCAATGTCGCTTTCGTATATGCGAATGTTGTGCCATAAGTAATCTCGGTCCTATTAGGGTTCAATGATGAGAATAGCGGTAAAGGTAGATATGATCATTCACCGTTGGTTCATTCAATTGGTTTTAATGGAGGCGGTGGTTCGATATGAGACCGATTCCACTGTTTCTCCTTGATGGAAATTTGATAATTTTTTTCAGGGACCAGACAATGACATGCGAAACGCGTCAGAGTGGTTTGCATACAGTTGTGAGTTCATTTATTTCGAATTCTAATGTTCTTTTTACTCGTGAATGCGCATAAACTTGATTGGCAAGTTATAAAAGGGGTGGGAGGGGAGGGGGAGAGAGTTCGTATTACGGCTTCATATTGTACCTTCGCTCCTGCGTAAGCCTGATCTATTTTACTAGATCAATTTTTTATATATTATTTTGCTATGAAAGGTATGGAGGTGCCTTAATGAGAAATTCGCAACATATACATATACATGCAGTACCCCTAGGCATTCATGCAGACGTCTATAAGCATAGAAACATGAATCGTATGACCCTCCACTATTACCAAGGGTTTGTCATCAAGCCGATTAATTTTCAGTCATTTCAATAACATAGTTCTTCGTTAAAAGGGTGAGTGATAGACTTACCTCCACGTGATGCATCCTGGGCAAAAAGTCTATTAACCGGCAGTTGACTTCTCACTTCAAACAACAATGACCTCACTGTATGTCATATTCGACCCTAACCCTTTTATCTGCCTTTGTGTCTGTCTCTTACACTCTTCTGTTCCCCCTCTCAAATTTGTCACACTTTGATGTCCCTCCCCTCTGTGAAGCCCAAAGTCAGCTAAAGGCTAATGATAACTATCAAATAGCCTGCCATTTGATATAAATAACTGCTTCGTTAATTGCCCTGCAGGTAAATTTGGTAGTGTTGACAATGCAAAGGCAAAATATCATCTCCAAATAGATATAATACCTTAAAATAATTATTTGCTTTCAAGAAAATGAAATAGCAGCATGCATACATATCACATTAATTTGACATTATTAAAACAAGGTTCACCTAGGTGCCTTTGATAAAAGGAGTTTTTTAAACAAACCCTCTTCAAACCGAAGTAAATTAAGACGATTTCGTATAATGCAAACACCACTTTCCCCTTTCACCAATTTACTACATAAGTGCTGAATTTTGATGGATACAAGCGGATTAAAGATGAGACTCATATCGATTTATTGGCAACTTTTTATTTTTCCTCAGCTTATCTGGTTTAGAATTAGAATTATTGTGTATACTAACCCACATGCGTTTCCTTTATAGGTGTTATAATAAAATGGATGGCAATAACAACAAGCATCAAATGCGCTACTTAGAGTTATTAAAATATAATAATAATAATATCAAATGACAGGCGTTTTGATTGTTATCATTAGCCCTTTAGTTGACTTCAGTCTTCACAGAGGGGAAGGAACATCAAAGTGTAAAAAATTCAAGAGGGGGGGGGGAACAGAAGAGTGTATCAAAGACGAAGGTAGATAAGGTGGAAAAAAGGTGGGATGAGTACTGTGAAAGAAGTCGAATATGACATACAGTGAGGTAATGGTAGTTTGAAGTCAACTGCCGAATAATAGACTTTTTTGCCGAATGAGTATACGCTGCCCAGGGTGCACCACGTGGAGGTAAGTCTATCGCACACCCCAGTTATTAAAATATCGTGTTCTGTAATTCGCGTCAAACTGCGTGATTTTCCCAATGTTTTTTATATGGTACACATAAAATTAATGACTAATTGAGGAAATTACATGCAACAGCGTCTACAGCCAAGCATTGCATATAATGTGGAGACGTCATTCTTTCTACGCACATTAGAATTGTTTCCTGAAACGCGATTAGAATTCACTCGTGTTGGGCGATTATCTATTGATTGGTGTAGGGTGGTGTGATGTCATTTGTCAATTTTGATGTCCCCACACTGTTCAGTTTCTGCAGCTTGAACTTCTAATGGTCTGTTCGGGAGAAGCGAATAGTTGGAAACATTTTTAGAACAACAAAAGTGATCTTTTCACTTTTGGACTTCACAGAACCTAACACGTAATAGTAGCAAAAATAAGAAGGGTAGCGAGAGAGTATACTTTGGATCATAAGGTGATGCAAACCAGTGTTGGCTCGCTCAACTTGCAAAGACCTATTGTAAAATTTGGAAATATATTTCCCTATGCATAACTGGCTATTGAATTGTTCACAAATCCTTGTGGAAAGCATGTGATATTTCTTTCACTGGAGTATAGTGAGGTACCTCGTCCCCTCTCACACAGCCCCCCCCCCCCCCACCCAATCTCCATTAAACTTTTCTTAAACTATGTCTGCAATATTTCATTTGTCTTCTCATTGGCAGTCGTATAAAACGATCATTGGTTGATGAGCTTATTACGTGAACGGAGACAACTTTTAAGGGGTTGGGAGCGAAAACAGAACAGGTGGTGAGAATTTCAAGGATAAAATATGAAAGTTGACTTTTTAGGGCATTTGGAATAAAACGAAACGACGTTAGTGGGGATAACAGTTGGGGGAGGTAAAGGCGTCATAAAACAGCCATGAAAACAACCTTTGGTAGTGTAGTGCGTCAAATCAGATTGGAATTACTTCACCTGTTGCTGTGTTTTATAACCTCCCAAATTGACTGAAGTGTATCGTAAATTTTACAAAACTGTAAGAATATTTTTTTGCGTTCATTCAATCACAATTCAGTGATATTGGTATTGGAAATAATAGATCACACGAGTTTTTGTAAGCTTTAACTTCAGAAAATTTCAGATGATGAGGCGGTTATTGGTAGTTTTAAATGGCTCTAAACTAAATAAACTTAATACTCCAACTTGGGGTGAGCGATAGACTAACCTCCACGTGGTGCACCCTGGGCAACGTATACTTATACGGCAAAAAAGTCTATTAACTGGCAGTTGACTTCTGACTTCTAACTACCATGACCCGACTGTTTGCCATATTCGACCCCTTCCACAGTACTCCTCTAACCTTTCCTCTTCTTTTGTGTCTGTCTACCTGTCTCTTTTCCATCCGTGATTCTCTCTTCCGTTCCTCCCTCTCGACTTTTTTCACTTTGATATTCCTCTCCTCTGTGAAGCCCGAAGTCAGCTTAAGAGCTAATGCTTACTATCAAAACGCCTGCCATTTGAAATAAACAAATAAATAAATATTCCAACTTAAAGTGTTGGCGATAAACGCCAAGTCATTGGTATTTGTGACTCAGCATCGAGGGGTCTTCCATTTTGCCCTAATCCTTCACAGCAATCTCACATATTTTACATCTTTCAAAAAATGAAACGAGATAGTCATTCCAATAAATGGCCCTGAAAAACTCTGACTTAATGGAGGCTACTCATGTACTTTATCATCCTACTACTCTAATTCAAAAGAAATCAATAATCTTCATAATCCAAGTCCTCAAATTTCACCAACTTTTTGTAAATTTATATACCATAGAGATTAACCCTGCTCAGTTTCTTCACTGCATACTAGAACTCGAAATCTATATATATATCACTCTCAATGACCTTCAAATAGCAAGGTCATTATACTTCTTGCACTCTGGCTTAAGGTGAATTCTGCCAAGTCCAATACTCATACAAAACCAAACTCGGGTGCTAGAGAGTGTAAAGAACCATGGAAATTAAAATTATGCTTTTTTACACTCTAGTAAAAGCAAACAATAGCAAATTAAAGTTCAATTTCAGCTAGATACCCACTTATAAAACCCTTGACCTTCCTATGATTACTAGGTCACGACAGACTTTCAAAGTGGGAATAGTACCCGTTGTGTGGGACAGCGAGAAGAAGAATGAATTGTCAGGGAAGTGGGAGAATAATTGAGTTGGCAACAGACGGCCGCAAGCAGTTTGACATTGTGTCGTACTGACTGCTTTATTCTACTGATTAACAACCAATCAGAAATCACCAAGTGGAAACAGTGACTGTGTGTGTGTGTGTGTACAGATACTATAACTCCATTGATACAATTTTCCAAGTACGAAATATTTAATTACTATGTGTACAATCTAGTAGCTTTAATTGTAATTTGTTGGAACATATGGAATAATGTCAATTGGTCCTATAAAATATTTTTTGGGAGTTGGATGTTTGCTTGCATCTATTAGCTTGAAATGTGTGATAAGAGATGCGATAGTCATTATTGATCTAAAATATGTGATTGAATTTATAGTCTTTTACATAGTCTGTTGGTAAAATTTACTTTTTTTATTACAAATTTAGGAGTTATTATTCATCGTTTCTTAAAATATTTTAATTAAGGCAAAAAATATTGCAAAGGAAAATTTCCTTGAAGTGAAAAAATTTAAAACTGCATTTATGAAATTATAACTTACGAATTGATCTTCCAATTGATCGGGCCTCACATGGTGTTGACTGGATAGTAATTAGCTGAAGGTAGATCCAAATTAGCAACATTCTTTTTAAGTTCCTTCACCTGATTACTGTAAAAATCACCATTCCTCAAACAGTGCACCTAATGGCATATGATTGTGTCCAAATGCTCACACTTTTCTGAAATTCACTCACACCTCTCTCCTGATTGGTTAATTACAGAGTTTCATCTTTGCAACCCCTCGAGGTTATATAATATGTACAATACGCACAAACTATCTCCCCAACCAATCAAAAGTGGAAATTGAGCACCAGTGTTGCTGGTAGATGCTTGTTGCACCAACCAGTTCGAAGAGATGGTGCTGGTGTTAGACTCAGCCTTAGACCATATTACGATCCTATTCAAACGAGGTTGGCTCATTAGTCGATTTGTAGAAAAAAAAGCGGAATCAACGTGACAAAGGATCAAGGCTTTAGAGGCTCTTCCAGATCCTGGAATCAGTATTCTAAACGAAATAGAAGAGGATCAGAATTGTGCCGTAAATAAAAAAACCTGAGTTTATTAATCAAAGAGGCAGTAAATTCCCTTCGTTTTTTTCATTAAATGAATTTTATTATTAAACTATGTGAAAATTGTATTAAAATGTATTTATTCCACTCCTTCCACACTCATGAAACAACATTGTTTCAATACATAGAATGGCCTATTTATTATAAACATTTGTGGCACATTCGCTGTCACTTGCCCAAATTATGCTCTTATAAAAATTTCATAACTTGATGGACAATTGGCTAGTGAAATCTATCTAAGTGATTTCGCAATCCTTAATCAATGCTTCAAATACATTACTATAAACCGTTTAAGTAGTAATAGATTCAGTTGGGATTTCAAGAATCAAGAAGTACCGCGACATTTATTATTATTTTTAATAGCCTCGATGATGGTATTCTTAATTATCACCTTGGTTCCAGTGGTCTATTTAGAACTGGATGAGAAGAGGCTCTTCTCTCGATTTAAATATTGATCTATTTATGGACAAATTGCTTTTCTGTTTATTCAGCCAATTTGATCTACCTGTAAAAGCCTTCAGGTTTGCGGAAATCAAGAAACCTAACACCTGAGTAGGTGGTATTAAGCCTAGAATTTATGAGTTTTACTGACAATACCAAAGATATTCCTCGAATATTTTCATAAGCAATAAACAAGAAAAATAGTTCTTGTTTGCAGTTATCGGCTATGTTAATACATAAAAAAGGTCACCTTATCCACTAGGAATCATTCTACAAGCCGTGAATCCATCTAATTCAAATACAATCAATATTTTAAATCAACATTGACATGATATTTATACACTGTACAACTTTTATTATGGTGAGCATCCGAGATCGATGGCAACAAATTAAATTAAAAAATTGTAAACCGAATGCCATCTTTCTTCACTTGACTTTTTGGATTGAGGTTGTGGAACATTTATTGAATGAGCGCAGTTCAATTTTTAAGAAGTCACATTTCATGAATCGTCCAAGTAGATTGCGACGGCAATATCCTGTGGCGGTATTGCTATATGAAGACGTATCAGTCTTGTCACAATAATTGGGAAGGCAATTGATTTTGTGGCATTTTTAAAAGGCCAAAGATGAGATGAATAAGATTTTGAGTTGTATTCTTTCGATTAAAAGAGAGTGCTAAAGCTCAACGTCAGGTCTATGGCTTAACAGTGTAGAAAAGTTATCTTTCAGAGTAATTGGAGTAATCCTGATGAAAGAGAGAGAAAAGTGATATACTTTTGAGTAGTTGTGCTGTTGTGAGTCAGGCTAGATCTCAGCATGTAGGATTCCAGATTCTATTGGTGTAATCTACACAAAACTTTATTTATTTCAAATAAAAGGCTTTTCGATAGTTATCATTACCCCTTTAGCTGACTTCGGGCTTCACAGAGAGGCGGAACATCAGAGACAAAAAGTCCAGGGGTGGGAACAGAAGTGTGATTCACAGATGTAAAAGAGACAGGTACAAAGGCAGAGAAAAGGTTAGATGAATACTGTGGAAGGGGCTAAATATGACATACACAGTCGGGGGATGATAGTTTGAAGTGAGAAGTCAGCTGCCAGTTAATAGACATTTTTGCCGTATGAGTATACGTTGCCCAGGGTGCACCA